TTTCCCTTTCTCTCTTATCTTGCACCGTGAAGAATGACGAAACGCTAGCGATGGACGAACAGTAAAGAAAACGACAAAAGAGAAAAGAGACGATGTATGGTCACAAAAAGGACGAATGCTGAGGATTCGTGAACGATGGTAAAAATATACAAGACGCATTAGTTGTCGGAGGGTCAAGATTTTAAAGCAAAGGATACAAAATTAGCACATTGACTGAAAGACTAAAACCGTAGAATTTTTTACGAGTCCAAAACTTCGATTTTTAGACAATTGTAAACTGCATAATTTAAAATTTAACTTAGTATTTATTTTCGTAACTTCGTTAAAATTCATGAAGCTTATTCAAATTTATGTTAACGTTTGCAATTTGAGAATTAATTATTTTAGTTATATATTAAAGAGCCCTGTTATCCATATATGGGTGATGTGGCAGTTAAAGTGTTAAATATATAAATGTAGTTACTTTGAAAGTTATTACGAGTTGGTGAGTTAAAATAGTCTCTACAGCTCCACTAATACGCATTGTTTGCATTTTTATACATTAAAATCCTCCCATATGTCCCGATGTTATGAATTTTTAAACATACGCATCAAATTTTAGGGAAAAATGTCATCTATGGTCAGACATTACATTTTCGGTAAGGAATTTTTTTCCCAAAAATACGTAGGATTTCGGGGGTATGTGTATTCATCAAAAATAATTGTAATTGACCCCCGCAAATATAAATAATTCTTTTAGAACGATTTGAAATTTTTTAATTCCACCGAAAAATTTGTCCACCTTCCTAAATTTTTTTTTCAAAAGTGCAAAGGCTTTCAGAGATATGTGTATTCACCAAAAATGATTGCAATTGACCCTCGCAATCAAAAATAATTTTTCTAGAATGATTTGAAACTTTTTGAAATTTCAGGGGAATCGGAATGTCAGGGTCAGACATTGTAGCTTCGGTAAGGAATTTTTTTTCTCGAAAACGCGTAGGATTTCGAGGATATATGTATTCACCAAAGATTATTGTAATTGACCTCCGCAACCGAAAATAATTTTTCCAGAACGATTTGAAATTTTTTAATTTCGCCAAAAATTTTTCGGTCGGTTTGGTACTTTAAACCGTTAATAACTTTGTAACAAAGCCTCAATTAACAAATTGGCATTCTTAATTTTCGTCTTATTTTGGCCTCTAGAATCCCCCATTAAAATGTTTCCCAGAGGTGGCCAAACACCCTGTATACATTCCTCAAACATTGATAGTGCCTACTTCCTCTTCTTCACAATATCAACACGAATAAATGCCAAAACATTTTTCTACGCATTTATTTATCATACGTAAAGTTTAAAGAACTAAGTAGAAATCCGTGTTGTTTTAACAAAGTTGCAACATTGGTCCGTAATGTCATCCATGCTGGAGTTTTACACCTCACAACGTTCTTCCAGGGGATATTGTGAGCTAACAACGCGAGAAACCAAAACTTAACCGTTGTCCAAAAATGTGTAACCACGGAAGCGGAAGAAAGAAAGGGACGGAACCGCGAACGGGGCAGAGAGAGAGAGAGAGAGAGAGAAATAGAATGCGCAGGAGACGCCAGGAACCTTAATAGGATGCGGCAGGGTCGTCCTTATGCGCGGTGCCATCTCGTTCTCGTGTACTATCGAGGAGGTGTTAGACTCCCCAGCACCGAGCGCTCGCAATTTGCATTAGTCGGGCGAATTACGTCGAAATTTATGTGAGTCTGGATATACCCATGGCAACCGTGGTCCTACAGTTAATACGTATTCGGAGTACTTACGGAAGCGACCGCGCAGTCGTCGTACTTATGGTTCTGTGGACAGCTAATGTCCGCAACTATTTCTCTCTGTCCGCCGCCTCGTCCTCGCTATCCGTTCCAGCCTTACAATATTATTCCCGGCGTATTGTCTGCTCAGAACTCGGCCCGACAGAAACGTATTTGCCAAACTGTGACACGTCGCTGTTTCGATGATTAATCTCTGCCAGCAGCATCGTTCCGGCCGTCGCAGGGGTACCCAACGACGCGTGGCGGTCAGCCTCGTTGCTGCTGCTCGTAATTGTCTAAGCGCGCGTAAAACGAGCCGCGCAAAGTTTCGACGTCGAAAACGCTGTTACCGTCGATTTCCGTGTCGCCTACGCCCGCGCGTTCCTGTCTTTAACACGGATCCCTGCGAGTACGCGACGCTCGTTTAATTCGTTCGTTTGCTTTCGCCTGGTCATTCGACGTGTTCGCGAAACTAGCAATGAGAGTTAATACTTGTTTCGCGGCGCTGGCCCGTATACTCGCTGGAAATTGTTTCGACGTTTCGCCAACGTTGCAGCCTAGGCTTCTTCGAGGCTCGAATGGCACGACTAATATTGACGCGTGTCTTGCTTCACTGATCATCGATCCGAGCTGCTTTATTTGCTGAACAATTAAAAACAATGAGAACAGAGAGTTCCCGATTAGATTTAAATGGTAGCTTGTATTCCTATGTTGTTACGATGTTTCGTTATTTTTTAAGAAAATTTGACTCTGGCTGGTAACTTTGTTTGGACAAATAATGTTTTATGTCCTGTAGTGGTCTTTTAACGTTCCTCTAAAATCTTACCACACGAATAAGATCTTTTGTATTTATTTGAAGTGGAAATCTGAGGAACTTCCTTGGAGGAGGTAACAAATCATTCAAGTTTGATTAGTATCACGAAGGTTGTTTTTATATTTGAATCCTGAGTACAGGCACAGGACTTAACAAGAGGAGGATACGAATGAGACGAGAACTTTTTAAATTATTTTTTTCGATTGCAATCCGAATCTAAATGATAGCGACATTCGAGATACAAACTATTCATGATCCGACAGAATGACAGTAGTTTCACAGATCGATGCTCTTATACGTAATTTTGTATATTTCCAACAAAATGTTCCATTACTGTAGTCGATCGACGCGGCTAACTCCATTCCAAAATCCATGATTACTTTCGTCGAATTATTATTAGCGATCAAAACAAACGTAAACGGAAGAATAAAATGAATTTAGAACTGGAAAAATATTATCTTCGAAGGAAGTAATAATAACGAACGAGAGATAACAGAATGTAAAACACTTCCACAAGAAAAATGCAAATAAATACGTATGTATATAATTCAAAATATTTGCACGAACCGTAAATATTCAAACATTATTTATTCGTAACAGTTGCTCTGTGTCCATAATACTGAAGAATTAGCAAACAGTAGTCAGAAATGCTCGAAAAATAAATGAAACGAATCGCGTCAACAGAACGAGCGTTATTCCAAATGTAGATCGTAAGATCCACAAGAATGAAATTTCCGTTCAGTTTTCTAACGTATCCTCTAATAAGTTATTAATTTTTTGCTCGAACAGATAAAGATAGACACGAGCCACAGGAATCCAGGCGCGAGCAATATTTATCCGTCGTCGCGATCAGTTAACCCAGACCCTACTGTACCAATTATCTCGATCAACAACTTCGCGGAAATTAATTGCTCCCGCGACACACATTTGATTGCGAGCCGATTTTTCTCATACCGTGGTGCCTCCGTACGCTACAATTGATACCTCGTCGTTCCGTCTCGGTTCGACCTATTACGTGCACCGTTTCTCGCTCACCTCGTCTCACGAGCTGTCTCTCATTACCCCTTTTTCTGCCTGTCACTGTTTCACCACGCGTCTCACGAGCTCCCGAACGGATATCGGTGACCTTAAGTGGTCGTTAGGCACGGCGAGCTAACGATCCCCTAATTAGTGCGTAATAGAACGCCGCCACCAAGACATGCCCGGTTTTCCGTCGCCTAACAACCTTCCCTGCCTTTCGATAAGTATCTCAGCGTGTTCTGGCTTCGCTGCGTCGCGAAAAAAGTAGTCCAAACGGGTACGATTCCTCGTTTCGCATAGACAATGAATAGAGAAACCATTTCGCATATTCCATGAGCTATCTACCTTTCGCGTTTGTTAATTATATATTTACAAAAGGAGTTCCAGTTATAATATAGATTTTGCTAGTTTATTGTAGCCTTCTTTAGTATATCTAACAGTACTTGTCATTGAATGAAATAGCAGAGTAAAGTTACGTGTAACACGAAGAGTCTATAAAGTTATTAGCATAATTCAGAAACGAAAAATAAAATTGCTGGAAGGTTTGATTAGTGATAATAGTATTCATCGTTAATAGAATAAAATGTGTCGAAAGAAATAATGTATCATGTTTCGAAGCTGTAATATTTTCGTAAATTATGTTTGCCTTTTGAAAAAAGTTATACGATATAAACACTAATAACGAGGTAAAAAGTGAATAGAATAAGATATTTTCATAGAACTATACATTCTCGAGAAAATAAATTTTGAAAATTTGTAAGGTACGTGTGTTACTGCGTATGACTCGGTTAACGTGTCTGGCCAGTAACCGATGTTTCTACTTCTCTTGGAAAACTTGAACGTCAATTGTGATGTACTGTCGGTTCCACATCGATTTTGCTGTCTTCTAACCAGTTAAAATCAATTGAAATAAATAATAGCGTACCAACGTCGATGCTTACAATCGCACGACACAAGTAGAAATAGCGAGCAATGGTCAGACACGTTAGACAAGTCATAGAATCGTGTACGTATCGAATTAATTTTCGAACATTAGTTAATTCGAAAACAAAAACCTGTATGAAAAAACTTTATTCCATATCTTTTATTAATATCCTTACGCGGAATAAGCACAGTGAAAACTATTTGTTTCCTATCGACTTGTAATAATAAGTCTCACGACTTGGAAAACAGCAGGCAGGAGAGTGGTGAAAAAATACTGAATATTTTAGAATCTACGACTGCAATGATCCGTAATGACCTTTTCAGAAGGCGAGTTTTCATTTACGTAAAGTGTATTATTTCTCGCGCATGCGATTAAAAGAAATTTATGATTCGAAGGGTGAAATACTTGGTAATGTGATTTAAAACATAGAGCTCGCAGGCAGGATAATGTAATGGAACGTTGAGTACTTACTTTCTTGCCGTCTAACTCGTGATTAACCTGTGCCAGCACTTTATCTACACTTGCGGGATCTGCGAACGTGATGAATCCAAAGCCCCTGCAACACGCAATAATCACACATCAATTTCATTGCCATGAATAATAAGAATACACTTGAATTTTAAATGTCACTAATGGTAGAGTTTCTAGCTTAAACGAGCGAGTTACGAACTAATGAGTTTCTTTACAGTACCGTTCACATCGATTTTAGATTAAATGTGTGCGATCTGGAATATAGGGATTCCAGAGAAAATACATTTCTAACGCTTCAGCTTTAAAAAAAAAAATTTCTCGAAATACTAATATTGAAATAGGGACCATAAAATTCTTTTCAAATGAAATTTTATTCCAACTTCTACCCTTCCTACACCCCCATCTACGTCTTCGTGGGGCTAAGTTGATAATCCAAGCATTGCTTCGCTAAATAAATATTTTACAAATGTGAAAAAAATCGTGAAACTATTAGCAACAATATTCGAGAAATTCACGAAGAACTGTCTCTCCTTTAGAACGGAGGTTTTTGACGATGGCGTGGCACGTTCGAGCAGCCCGTAGGACGAGACGTCGTGGCAGAGTCACGATTCCGTATTCGCGAAATTATTTCGTCCCGTGTAGTAGCTCTTTTTCCGAGCGGGCTGGCGAACACGAGCGTAGAACATATAACCGGTCGGCGGTAAGGCGAGCGGAGGGGCAAAGTCGCCGCTCGAGTGAAACAAATATCGGCCGGCGTCCGGTACCATAAATTTCACGCGGGACACCGTGTACATACAGATATATTAAAAGATAGTTTGGCGAGGAGGAGGATCCAGGGGGGAGGTGGAGGAGGGTGGCGGCCGATCTGGAGTGGCTCGCTGGGGGTTGGAGGAGCTGGGCAGGGTGCACACGGCACGATACCCGCGGTGGCGCGGCGAGGACCGGACGCAAAGCGGTTTGCATTTTTCATGCTGGGGCCGCCTCGGCAGTTATTGAAAATATTTACATGTTATTTATGGGGCACACATGCTTCAGGAACCAAACCAGACGGCAATTTCTCCGATGTACCTGTCCCCCCCTCCACTGTTGCGCCACGAAATCGCAATCGGACGCCGCGATGATCTCCCACGAGATACGTCGCTCGTCTCGCGACGAATTAATATCCAGATATTCATTAAATATAATATAACGAACTGTATACAGGGTGTTCAGCTACCCCTGAGAAAAATTGTAATGGTAGATTCTAGAGGCCAAAATAGGACGAAAATCAAGAATACCAATTTGTTGATGAAGGCTTCGTTAAAAAGTTATTAACGTTTAAATTTCAACCCGTACTGAATTTTTTTCTCGAAAGTAGATAGGATTTCGGGAGTATCTATTGACCAAAAATGATTATAATTGACCCCTACAACCGAAAATATTTTTTCCAGAACGATTTGAAATTTTTTTTTCGTCTAAAAATTTAGGCCTTGTCGATTCTTCTTAAAAATTAGTTTTTGATTTTTAATAAATTTGTTTGTCGCTGTACGGAAATGTTGTCTAATACTTTTTTGTAGGTACCCATGTGCTCTACTGCAGAAAATAGTTTTATTTAAATATATTCACTATTGTAGAAGTTATGGCTGTTTGAAAATTGGACCATTTTTATGGGGTTTTCCTAATTTTGCGAGGTCAAGGATCAACTTTTCGATTATTTTTAAATTTTCTACACACCCTTCACTAAAATACGCGTCGTTTGCATTTTGAAACATTAAAATCGTCCAATTCGTTCAGGAGTTATGATGTTTTAAAGATTTGCATGAAATTTCCGGGGTACATTTCTGGCCATACATTATATTTTCGTTTAGGAATTTTTTTCTCGAAAGTGCGCAGGATTTCTAGGGTATGTCTATTAACCAAAAATTATTGTAATCAACCCCTGCAACTAAAAATACTTTTTTTAGAACGATTGGAAACACAAGAAATTTCAGGGGAATCATTCATTCATGATCAGACATTATATTTTTGGTAACGAATTTTTTTCTCGAAAATGCGTAGGATTTTGAGGGTATGTCTATTCACCAAAAATGATTGAAATTGACCTCCGCAACTAAAAATAATTTTTTCAGAATGATTTAGAATTTTTTAATTACATTTTTAATAACTTTTTAACGAAGCTTAAGTCAAGAAATTTATATTCTTCATTTTTGTCTTATTTTGGCCTCTAAAATCTCCCATTAAAATTGTTCCCACGGGTTGACGAACACCCTGTATATTTAACTCTAAAATTTAAGGGTAATATTATTCTACAAATTTTTTGTAAATACATTTAAGGCTTCGAGAGATGGTTCTCGAAGCGTGATTTTTGATATATTTCTTTTTCATTCGGTATGAACTTTTGTTAATATCGGTAAGAGCTTAAAAACAAGCTTCGTTTTTGGATCGAGTAAGACATTATTTGAGACTTTAGTTGACGAGATATGTTGCTCGTCTTGCGACGAATTAATATCCAGATATTCATATAATGTAATATAACAATCTGTATATATTTAACTTTGAAATTTAAGGGTAATATTATCCTACAAATTTTTTGTAAATATATTTAAAACTTCGAGAGGTTCTCGAAACATGATTCTCGATATATTCCTTTCCCATCTTAAAACAGAAATTTTGCTCTTCGCGAATTAAAAATACAGAAACGGAGGATGGAGACTTACGTAGAGCAATCACGTAATTTAATTCCGGGAATGGAACATCAAATGAGAAGGTTACGAAAATAAATTAGCGTTTCGTCCAGGTAGAGTCGTCGGAGAGGCTGACCCAGTAAATGTTGCCTGTATTTGACGTATTTAGCTTGCTGATAAGAGTTAATTTAATGTACAGTAAAAACAAAATCGATCGAATTCTGCCCGCGTGCAAAATCTAAACGGTAGTTTATTTTTGTAATCTTCCCATTTGATGTACCAGTGTTGGAACTCTACAAAAACCTCGCATACGAGTATCTTTCAATTATTTTTCATATCATTTTTAGAAACCTCGTGTTTAAACTAAGAAATACATTTCTTCAAGTGGAAATTACTCGAGCAAAAACACGCGGGGACCGATGAAACGATGAGATACATTCAATATCTTTGGTTGTTCGGCCTACTTTGCGCCGCGACGCTCCTTTCTCTGCCCCATAAAGCAAATCTCGCTTTTTCCAATTTTCTTCCCCGTTTCTTGCTTTTTCCGCGAATGGCGTGTGCACGTCGCTGGCCCGTGTCGCATAGAAAATTCGAGAGAACGATTCGTGCTGTTCTCTTTCACCGTCGTCGTTCGCCAGTCGACGAAACAACGAATATACTCGTATGGATTGAATTTTTGATGGACCCCGGGTTCACCGCCGCCTCCGCCTTCTTGTTCTTGGTTGTTCGCCGTCTGGAACGCAACGTGGCGGCGGCCTCTTGTGCATCGAGCGCGATCGAACCGCACGACACCGTTCCATTGGCTGCTTCGAACACGCGATATACGAGATATTCGGCTCGGGGTCGACCGACGAGCGGAATACGAGTGGCAAGCGTTGCCCACGTCGAGCCGGTGTCGCGTGAACTTCGACCATTTTTGTACCTCGTTTGGGGAATTTACGGGGCTTGGGATACAATATTGTGGACCCACGAAATTGGCAGGTCCTCCGGCTTGTTTGCGCAATCGAATGTCACGCTTAAGCGCTTGGTCGATAGAGCTTGATTTACGCGGACCGTTCGGACGGCGATTAACGTTTCGTGCCCAATACCTAAAGTGGTCTCGTAATCCTTATATTATGAATAATTGCTAAACAAAAATGTCCTCCCAACCGTAATCCAACGTTTCATTTACTTTTAAAATTAACATGGAGTACGATAATTTTTGTTTCCTAATATTTATTACCGAAGCCATACAGAATCTAAACTTTCAAAGTGTACGCATATTCATTCCCGTTACTGTGTCAGGTTATATTACACCGTGATTTATATCGCCATTATTCGAAATAGCCACGTTTTTGCAGTAATGCAGACTTGCAAACGACGCGGTCGTTTGGTTATCGCGACGTACACGATCCTCACTGTTATCTCAGAAGCTGCTTTTGTCGTGGTATCCTTCGGGCTATCCAAATTTCTGTGAGAAGCTTTGCAATCCGTGTTCTACATCTCTGGTCACTGTCTGTAATCGTTTATTAGTTAATTCGAATCACGTCTGCGAGAAAGTCAATGCTTCATTTACATAAAATGGGCTTTAAAAAGAGCCAATGTCTACTAAAAGGAGCCCTAGCAGGAATAAACTATAAGTATGATTGCATAATAATGTTCTGGGGTGTATTTATATATGAATTGCCGTCAGAGCTAGAGAACATGATGTGCAAATTTCCTAATTAAAATGGTGGTCTTGGCGAACGTCCTGACGCAAATAGCTTCTGAAATAACAAGCCTAAACAATGTCATTTCTTGTGGTATTAACTGTATAAATCAAATTCTGATTAGTGAGAAATGATAATATTCGATATTTCTTTTACGATATCGTACATTGATTGTATTTAACGAGATTTCGATGTTTGTCGAGTGCGGGATTCCAAAATTAGCGGTGGATTTCAGTTTGGGCTAGGTCAACAAATTATTGTGGTGCATTATTTTTACTGGAACGAATGCTGTTTGCAATCCCGAAAGGTCAACATTTTAAGTGCAAATTTATCGTCGGCATCTGTTGACTCGCCAAAGATATTGTTTAAGTAAGCGTTGCTCCATCAAAATTTCCGTGTGTGTGCACTGCAGCCGAACGGGCTTACATATTCACGGGTTTACTTAGACTCGTACCTCACACGCATATATCTCTACTATTCAACTGCTACATGACAGCTTCATAGCTTCCATAGATCCCTCCTTATAATAACAATATGCGCCCATATACCTGTCTCTTATCCAGCAATAAATCTGTTAGTGATAATAAAGTGAGAGTGATTACGAACAACATAGTCTCTGTGTCCGGATATTATCATTCTCGTATGCATAGGATGGAATCATGCAATTCAGTCGTGTTATATCTCGAGTTTGTTAAGCAATAAACAACAAAAGAAAAAAAAATTGAATACTACGA